AGATTGTTCCATAGTGTTGAATTTATGGATCATTTCTTTGTTATTATTTTGTATATCTTCCCATTTTTCTTCTACTCTGGTTATTACTCGAGTGGTTTGATCTCCTAATTTCTCAAGCATTTCTGGCATTTCTTTATGTAATAATTCAAGACCAGTTTCCATGATCATAACTTTATCTCTGATGTAAGTAAAATTATTATCTTCTTCATCAGCTCTTTTATCCCAGCTGCCCTCAATTTTACGGCACAATTTCTTCATATCAGTGGTAATTTTTCTGTTATTTCTTAAGGTATGTTGTACTAAAAAATTCATGTTCTCAGTAAACATATTAACAGCTCTGCGTAGAGAAATTTCTATTGGGATATGTTCATGGGGGACTTGAGGCGTAGAGTAATCACTAGACAATAATTTTGATTTCCTACTAGTAGAATCACTATCAGAACTATCAGGAATTTTTTCACGCGCAGGTGTAGGGGAAGTATTTAAGGCTCCTCTTCCATGAAGCGGTGTTGGCGGTTGATTTTGCCTTTCTCCAAGTGTTGATAAGTCCCTTGAAGAGACCTCCCAAGGCGTACCATCTCTTCGTAGATTTGGCTGCGCCATTGAGTGTTCCTCCCCGTATTCCTTGGGTGTCTTGAATGGGTATTCCTCCCTCTGCGACTCAGGGGTCTCATTGATCCTTCTTGAAGGTCCGGCGCTTCTCGTGGTTGAAGGAGACTCTCCGCCGACACGTTCAGTGGGTTCCAACCCTTGGTTCTTTTGAGGGTCGTCGTCATTCCTCTTAGATCTATCATCGCTTGGAAATCCTCCCGGCAATACTTTAGATGAGCTCTGATGGCCGAGTAACTGCTGCGGTTGCGCACATCCTTCAGCCATTCCTTGTTGGTCTTCATCCTGTAGTAATAGCGCTCGAATTTCTCCTCCTTTGGAACTGTTAGTAGGAGATGTTAGTTTCTTTTTCGACGCGTAAATTATTTTATCCTTATTCTTTGGTAAAACTGACGCTGGTGGAAATCCTCTCTGGGATGGTGGAGCGTCTCTGGTCCTTCCATTATAACCTCTAAGTCTAAGAGAAGGTGGAGACATGGTAAAAGAAACAGGTCTTAGTAGGAAAATTTAACCCGGTGAAAATTGATAACAAAAAATATGTAGAGGTGTTAAATTTACCTGAGGATTTATCTGAGGCAACTACTGAGGCTTCCCTATTAGTTGTTTGAGGAGATTGGGCTCTATTGTCTCTTGGTGCAGTGTTTTTATCGTGTACTTCCAAGTTTTGGATATTAGCGCTAAGGGTGCTGTTGACGGCGGACACTGTTACACAACCAATTTTTGAGCTTTTTCAGAAATTTTTTGTTCGAGAGATAAGTTCAGAAGCTAAGGAACACGCTCAACTTTTCAGAATGAAATATTTCAAGGTACTTCTGGTCGAAAACTTGAGAGGTCGGTGTTTGCTACTGAAACTGGGTGAAGGAGTTGAGTGAGGATGGAAAGGAAGGTGGCGCTGGATACGTCTTATAAAGGCGATGAGTTCTGTATCTTGTTTGTCGATGTAGCTCAAATAATGAAGGAGCTACACTCTCTCAAAGATCAGGAAAGATCACTTTCGACTATTTTAGTAGGAGGGGTGATGTACTAGGCGGGAGTGGTAGTACGGAAGATCTGTATGTATGTAGATCCTTGCAGATCCTGGCAAATCCGGGGTGTATTGAGTTGTAACTGTGTAATACGGCCTGCAGAACCTTATGTACACGTGAGATAACTCTATTTTTAGACTTCGACCAGGTGTATTAGACTTCGACCAGGTACTAATCCCTCGAGATGATGGGTAAATGAGACTAGATCCGCTCACGCCGTAGGAATGGTAGACTTTCAAGGCTCAGGAAAAAAACCTAGTAGTGTAAACAGGGTACGGCGGATCGAATGGTCTACTCAGAATGTCTGTATCTGTTACGGTTCTCTCTCCGTGATAGTGTAAAGTGATTTAGACTGAAAAAAATAAGACTTTTTGAAGGGACACGGACGTATTTTTTAAGGGTTTTCAATTTTTTCTGTGTGGATGAATCAAATGGAAATATAATGAAATATTTTTGTGATTTTTTGTGGCACGAGATGAGTGAAACAGATAGCGCAAGAATTTTATTTTTGTGTTTTTTGGTGTTTTTATTTCTGATACTAAGGAAATGAGATGAGATGAGATAAAAACAAGCTTAGTTTATTCTAAATCCGTGAGATCTATGATTATAGAGTTGGGTTGAGGCGGAGAACAAGCAGTGAAAGGTGGAAGAGTGTAGTAGCGGACAGTTCTAGACAAGATGTTAGTAGGAAGAGTTCTATATTTAGGGGTTTCTTCTAACGCTGTAAAGAAGTTATTCCTGTTTGTTTCTACTGTTTTTTCTATGATAGACTCGTCTTCTTCTACAAGATTTATGAGGATGTATTCAGGGGAATAGGTAGAATGAAGGGTACAATGGTAGCGCTTAGTTTCTATGTAGTTCCAGAATCTATCTTCTGCTTCTGTTACTTTCACTTTTTCTACTCTTTCAATAACTGTAATGTTATCCGGGTGGTTGTGGTAATATCTACTAGCTTCTTCTGCAATTGTACTATCTATTTGTCTAATAAATGGCAAAACTTCCGGCATTTGTTCTTCAGAAGGCCATTGTTAGTAGTAAATGTTTTGGGGACAAAAGGTAAAAGAAGCACGGAGATATGTTAGTCACGGAATTCCAATTAGGCCAGACCCCCAATTGTCAGCCTCTGGGTAACTAACCTGAGTATTTAATAGTAAAAAGGTTGTTACTATGAGTTGACTGAAGTTTTGAGCGTGGTGAGTGTTAGGTAGTGGGTGATTAATACCAGTCCTGTAAAGAGGAGGTTTCACTCTATCAGTATGGTCTTTACTGAGAGGCTTGCTATCAACAGCGCATCCGGATCAATACAAGGTATTAATAGGCATCCAGGGTACTAAGACTCACCTGGGATTGATTTGGTTATTCCCAAAAGGGAATGGGCTAACAATACTTATTAAACTTTAACAAAATTAGTTGAAGATTAACAGGTATTGTTAATGGGAATATTCAGCAAGGCTATGAATACTGTGGATAAGTTGAGTAAGAGTACTGAAGCTTAAGAACAATAAATGTAGACAAGATTTATGTTGGTTACGGGTACTGTATCAATATAAATGTTAACTGGTTTAACTGGTGTCTGAATATTCTGGGGATTAATCAGTGAAAGAGGCACGGATTATAAGTTCCAGAATATTGAAGGGGGGAAAGAATGAGCGCTCAGAATCAAGGGAGCTTTGGCCAGGAGAATGAGCACATCAATTGAGTGACTGATCATTATTTGTCATGATCTGTAAGTGACATCATAATTGTGTACTAGTTGATCAATGTACTAGTAGCTCTTGATGCGTGTACTTAACAGATCCTCTAATAATGTAGTCATAATTGTGATCAGTGCATGTATTGAATGTATTAATTCTATTGACACTTAATACTTATTATTTAATACATGTACATATTTATTTGTAATAATATTTGACCGTAAAAATACTGTAGCAGAGGGATAACTTGTGGTACAGGTATTTCACGGACAAGGGAGTGAAAGGTAAGTGATAATTACTTATGTAGAACACAGGTATGTATTTAATAGATAAGTAATTAACAGATAGGATAACTGTAAGATAAATAAGATAAGTTAATAATAAAGATAAGATAACAAGAGGTAAAGGTAATCAACATTATGGATAAGTACTTATGTACATAAGTACAGGTGTTGCAGTTACTTGGTACATGAAAGGTACTGTGACATGTACTCTGTGGCTGACAAAGATCAATACTAAGGTAGCGTGCGTAGTAGCTACAGTTAGTGAAGCAATTATCGATGAAGGAAATCAAGTGGAGAAGGCTACCAATGTCTTTCAGTCTGATCACTTAAAGAGAAACTCCAATCGACTCGAGCTGTTGAAGCTAGACCCTGCTTTTTTGGATCTGCTGCCATTGTCCGGAAAAACATACGTGTGCTCCACAACCAGGTTAAAGGCTCAAATCAAGGACTTACCGGGACAATATTCTTTAACCATTCGGCCGCAAACCCTAGCAATATGGGAATGGAAAGAAGGATCTTCAACAGCCAGGCTGTATGAATACAGGATCTCCACTTCAGAAACAACTATTGACAAGAGAAGATTCAAGTATACTGGCTGGGCATGGAGAGGCAATTTGGGACAGCAACCTCCTCGGATTCAGGACTTACCCCAGCACATTTCTCAACACTGCAAGAATCTGCGCTGGTACTGGTTCAAGGATCTCTGGGCTCTGTACTACTTTCTGACATGATAGTTCTATCCTTTTTTTTGTTGTTTTTTTTAGTAGTAGCAAATGTCAGCTGGCAAGCAAAACCCAGTTACCCCTTAACTAGTGAACTTAATGTTTTGCTACACCTCCTGCACTTTTATACATTTCACACTCATTTCACTCATTTTCTTATTCATTTCACTCATTTCATTATTAACATACTCTACATATATGCTTGTATCTAGTTGGCCTTGCCAAGTCAGATATATAAAGTTGTACTGACCGAAGTCTATTGTTCCCCAGACTTTCAGAAGAGACAAAAATAATAACAACCTTTTATTTCAAATCATCCCTCTTGAGTTTGAAGATACATCAACAAATCACTACTTCAAACTTGCCTGTTCCCTTCACATCACCACATCACTGTACGGAACTCTCAGCCTGAACTTCTCAAAAACTTATCAACAGCTTGGGTGTGAACACCGTGGACCGGATTAGATCTTTCTACGACTTGGAGCCACTGGACGATTCCAGTAAACTTTCATCGAGCAGATCTCATCACCTCGGAGTAACCCACCGTTGACATGTACTAATTCGGCTTTGCTTTGATCTGTTGGGTGCTTGATTGTGTAGCTTAGAGATATGCGTCCATCTCCTCCCTCAACCAATCCGAGTCCCGGAACCTATCATTCCTATCCCATGTCCACCCCTCCCACTACCAATACTGGTGTGGGAGTGAATGTTACTGAGCCAAGGGCTCCTCGTTTTCAGCCACCCCCTTACAATCTTAATCCTCCGCGCTTCCCTCACCCGGTCTTTCATCCTCACCCCCCAGTCTTTCATCCTCACCATCCCACTTTCCCCCCCTTCGGTCAAGGGGGTGGTGCTCGAGGTCGAGGGTTTATGCAAGGCCCAGGTGGAGGCCGTGGTGGAGGCCGTGGTCGTGGTTGGATTCCGCCTGCCCAGCTCCGGATTCGAGGTCAGGCTAACCGGTTCTATCACCCCAATGGTCCAGCCGCTGGGGTGCCGTTTGGTCAGGGTCATGCTCCGGTAAGTTGAGGGTTTTGTTGTTGATATTCCTGCGTCCTTGAGAGTTACTGATGCCGTTTGTTATTTTTGCTAAGTTCTTCAATTCCAACCGGGCTCAGGTTGACATTGACAACTTCTTGAATCAACATCCGATTCCACCTGCGGTTCAACGCCGCCCAACTCCAATTCCGGTTCCGTCCTCGCCTAGTGTTCCTGCCGCTAACGCTGCTAGAGCTCCTAGCAACCTCAGCTCTATCCGTTGCGGCGATAGTTTTCATACCGCTGAATACTTCCTCGCTCCTCAAGTTCAAGTCGCGTCTCCGACTCCCGCGGGTATGTATGATCCTGACGATTATCACCTCCTGGCTCGTCACCAGATCGGATCTTTGCTAGACCGCCGCGCAGCGCCCGAGCGCTTTGATCGTTATGAGTTTACGCCCCAGCATTTCGATGAATTTTACCAGTCAGCTACTTCGGCCCCGGTCCATCATTGGACCCGTCATCCTGCCGCCAACGCCAACGAACGTCAAGATCGGGTTCGTTTGTTTCAGTTCATCACTCACCAATACCGTACCATGACTCGCCGAGTCGTGTAGGATGTAAGTTGTGATTCTTGCTTGTTATTTTGTTGATTGGTTGCTGACTTCTTGTTTTTGAACTTCCCCTGGTGTCTAGGCTGCTTTGTTGGAAACGGTTCTGCTGCCTGAACATCATGGACAGCCAGTCTATAGGGGTAAAAAAGTACTAAAACCAAAAAAATCAATACATAATCTTTTTCTTAACTCAAAAAAAGTATAAAAATGTCTTAAGCTAAAAAAATCAGTATAACTAAAAATCCAAAAACAATTTTTGTCTAGTCTCAGCCTTAACTTATTTTTGTTTTAGCCTTAACTTATCTTAGCTTCTACTGCCTGCTTCTATCAATGAAAGCCCAAACCCCTCCCCCAACTTAAAAAAAGGTTGTCCTCAACCTAAACTAAGTGAGAGAAGTAAGTGAGGTTGCCAAAGGAAGTGCAGTGAGAGCATAAGTGAGTAAAAGAATTTGAGAGATCTTCAAGCCAGTGAAGACCTAACTGAGAAGACAGAATGAAGAGAAAAAAGAGATATGAAAGAAGATGAGTGTTTTGGAAAAAGATGAAGGAATTCCTCCCCCAACTTGAATAATATTAATCCTCATATCAACAAGTACAGGTGAGTTTCCTCCCCCAACTTAAAGATTTGAAGCCAGCAATGCTAATTATTTTTGGTTTTTTCTGCTTGTTTTTAGGTATTTTCTAAATGTTTTTCTGGTGTTTTATGGGTGTTCTGAGTTGTTGAAGTTAGAAAAGGAAACATATACGTACCAAAAAAAAGAAATCTATGGAAAAACAAAGAAGATTGAAATAATTTTTCATAATATTTTGTGCTTTTTATGTATGTTTTTGTGTTTTTAATGGGTTTTTCATCAATTTTTCTTGGAGTTTTTGGTATTTTCTGTGGGAAAAGGTGAACTTGAAAAGAAAATATTGATTAAAGCTTCAAGTGCTAATATTTTTGACTTCTTTTGTTAATTTGTGAGGTCTTGAACAGTTTATTCTCGTGCCCAGGAGGTAGCTGAATTTAATTTGAACTATTTCTGTCCGAGCTGTTGGAATCTTCCTCATGATCAGAGCTGTTTTGACTCTTGTCATCATTACTTCCAATTTCTGGGTCTTCTTCGTCGTCCTTAATCTCGTCCAGCCGTCGTCCTCGAGGATAAAATCTTTTGACATGTGATGCCGCATATGTCCGGTGAAGTTCAGTTCCATCTAGTTCTTCCAGTAAGTAAGATCCTTTGGGTAATTGTTCCTTTACTTTGAAAGGTCCATTCCATTTATTAGAAAATAACTTTCCCCATTGGTCTTCCAAACTTTTGTTGTATATTAAAACTAGATCTCCCGGGTTCAAAGGTCTTCGTAATCGTGCCGCCATTTTTTGATCCCAGTATCTGACAGAGGCTTCTCTGGCTTTGATCATTTTCTCGTGGGCTTCTTCCAGAATTTCCTCTCTTCTTTCCAGTTGCATTGTCCGGGCTTCCAAGAGTTCTGCTGTAGTTTTGATTTCTGACCAGTCTATCCCTAAATATGTATCCATTTCTAGGTCCACTGGCAACACTGGTAAGTGTCAAAAAACCAGCTCATAAGGAGTGAAGCCAGTTGTCAGCCTGAGTGATGCCAAGAGCTGAAACTCTTCTAGCTACACTAGGTGCAAGGTTAAATTCAGAGGTGTACACGTGTGGGCGACACGTGAAAAGTGGAGAAAGTTGGGTAATGAAAAGAAAATAGTAAATAAAAACTTAATAGTTTTTATTTACAGAGGGGCCTGAGTTACAGGGGTTTTTTTGGTGCCCTCTAATATTAGGTCCTGGGTTACAGGGGTGGTACTGATGCTCTTGTCAGCGGTGGGTTACTCCGAGGTGATGAGATCCGCTCGATGGAAGTTTACTGGAGTCGTCCAGTGGCTCCAAGTCGTAGAAGAATCTAATCCAGTCCACGGTGTTCACACCCAGCCGATGATAAGTTTTGAGAAGTTCAGGCTCGAGGATCCAGACAGTGATGTGTTGATGTGAGAGGGTCAAGCAAGCTTAAAGTAGTGATATGTTGATGTATCTTTGAGCTCAAGAGGAATGAGTAAATAAAATGAGGTTATTATTTTCGTCTTTTCTGAAAGTCTGGGGAACAATAGACTTCAGTCAGTACAACTTTATATATCTGGCTTGGCAAGGCCAACTAGATACAAGCATATATGGAGAGTATGTTAATAATGAAATGAGTGAAATGAATAAGAAAATGAGTGAAATGAGTGTGAAATGTATAAAAGTGCAGGTGGTGTAGCAAAACATTAAGTTGACTAGTTAAGGGGTAACTGGGTTTTGCTTGCCGGCTGACATTTGCTACTACTAAAAAAAACAGAAAAAAAAAAAATGATGAAGCTATCATTTGAGAAAAATTAATCAAAGTAAAAAAGTAACCAGAGATCCTTGAACCAATACCATCTGAGAGTGTCCGTGCCTTGTGAGATGTCCTCATGAAGTTCCTCTATTCTTGGTGGTGGTTGTCCTAAATCACCTCTCCAACCAAAACCAACAAACTTGAATCCTTTGTTACTGATAGTTGTCCCAAGTTCTGGAGTCTTGTATTTGTGCAATGTAGCGCTTGAAGTGCCTTCTTTCCATTCCCAAATGCCAAGTACTTGTCTTCTAATTAAGTCTGCCGATGCTTGCGGTAAGTCTTCTATATCAGTCACCGTCTTTGTCTCCAAAAATCTTCTATCTTTGATCGATGCTGGTAGGAGGTCTAGTACAGCGGGATCGTACTTGAGGAGAGAAAATCGTCCGCAGCCACGTCGGAGTTTCTTATACTCAATAACTTCAGATGTAGTTTGGGACTTTTTGTAGTCAGATTCTTTGTGTGTGCTAGGCAAGTCGTTTAAGGGTTTGACTTGGCAAGGATGTTTAGGCTGAAAGCGACAGGGGGTCGCAGAGCTTGTACTGGGAGTATTCTTCAGGTCGTTAGGTGGTGTAAGACACTTCTTGATCGATTTCGGGGCGACCGGTGGTTGGGATTTTATCAAAGGTTGAAGCGAGAGAGACGAGACACAAGAGTTCTTTTGACTACTCAACAGAGCTGACGGCCCCTTCGGTGGCGAGTTTGTTGCTTTTTTCGGCTTCACTGAGGCTTTAGACTTTGTCACTGGTGCAGCAGAGGTTATTGGATCGCGCGAGCTGTCTCTTGCGGTACGCTTCTTCTCAGTATTGCTATCTGTGCTTGCAGCTTGTGAGACATCCACTATGTTTATGAGATGTCGCATCACTTTGAACGAACGGCTGCGAAGTGTTGATTGATTGCCTTTTCTAACTGCAGGCATAACCTTTCCAGCAATGTTGCTTCGACTACTCGCTAGATCATTGCGAATGATGGAGGGGTAGTCGTTCCGATTCCTAGTTGACTCCAACGTGGTCCTTCCCAGTAACTTCGATTCAACGTCCTTCAGTTTGATTTGCAATTGATAGAGCTCTTGCCGGAGCAATTTGACTTCCCTCTCAATAGACATGAAGCGTGCTCAAAAAAGGAACAATAGCGATCCGAGAGGTCTGGCCCGACGAGGAGAGACCGATGGTAGCAAAACAAACGGTTATCTTTGATCTAGGAATCCACCAGGTGTGATAGAAGCTAAAACTAGCCGTTCCCGATGTGATGACCTCGATGGAACCAAGGCCAACGTGGAAGGGATGTTGCTGAAGATCAAGATGAATCTGATGAGATTAAGGTGCACTATCGCAAGCTGTTGTACGTGTTTGAGGGTAGTTTTCAATGGTTTGTTCTGTGTTAGTCCTCTGAGTCTAGAGACAAGCCACAGACTCGATTCTTCTTAAAAAAACAGAAAAAAAAATGATGAATCCTCCAAGTAGAGAGGGTTCCGTCCGCACAGGGCCTTAAGTTCCAGGTGTACGGGTATAAGGGGTGGTCGCCAATTGTCAGCGGTGGGTTACTCCGAGGTGATGAGATCCGCTCGATGGAAGTTTACTGGAGTCGTCCAGTGGCTCCAAGTCGTAGAAGAATCTAATCCAGTCCACGGTGTTCACACCCAGCCGATGATAAGTTTTGAGAAGTTCAGGCTCGAGGATCCAGACAGTGATGTGTTGATGTGAGAGGGTCAAGCAAGCTTAAAGTAGTGATATGTTGATGTATCTTTGAGCTCAAGAGGAATGAGTAAATAAAATGAGGTTATTATTTTCGTCTTTTCTGAAAGTCTGGGGAACAATAGACTTCAGTCAGTACAACTTTATATATCTGGCTTGGCAAGGCCAACTAGATACAAGCATATATGGAGAGTATGTTAATAATGAAATGAGTGAAATGAATAAGAAAATGAGTGAAATGAGTGTGAAATGTATAAAAGTGCAGGTGGTGTAGCAAAACATTAAGTTGACTAGTTAAGGGGTAACTGGGTTTTGCTTGCCGGCTGACAGCTCTGGTCCTTTGTAATAAAGGAGTATGCCCAGAAATAGCCTACAACTGAAGAATCAAAGAAATAATACTTACTAGTACTTATCTCTAAGCCAAGGAGGTCTTCAGGAGGGGGGAACTGTTCTTGAGGCGCTCAGAAAGGTTTGTGAGAGATTTTGAGAGTGCTGGGGAACAGGTGTTGGGTTGAAAGGTTGAAGTTCAGGTTACAAACAGCAGGAACAGGGCCAAAAGGCAGGTTGATACTGGGTGTTGGTGACAGTTTATGCTGGTAAGTAATGATGAAGATGGGGAATCAAGGTTCAGGGGGAAGAATGGGCTCTTAAATACCCATTCTGGGCCTCTGTAGGCGAACTCAGGAGTCTCTCTAGTTGCTACAACTCTCCTACTAAGCCTATGGGAGCTTTTGATCATCTGTAGCACCTGTAGAGCTTGGTTACAGGTGTCAAGGAGATGATGTAATGCTTGTAACCATGTTTACAGGGTGTTCTGACGAAACTGCAACACTCCTGTAGCCTATGTAAGCACTTCATGATGCATGGGTTGATCCTCAAGAGAGTGATTGTCCCAATTAATTGGGCCAAAAAGGGCCACAGATCATCCCAAACAAATTAATACTGTAGTCTGTGCTCATGTAGTTAAGGTTTCAATGATGTAAACCTTGTTTGTAGATTTTTCCCGAACTGCATGAACTTTAATTACACATGTAGCCCCCTTACAACATGTAGTATGATGTAACTGGAGGGGTCTACAGTGTTTTTTGGTCCAATATCACTCAAGGACTACAAAGTAGGTGAAGGAGTAATAATTCAGGGGTAAACTTGGTGAGCTACCCTAGGTTATTTTTCATTTAGATTCAGAATCTGCAATAATATTCTGAGTTATACTTAAGGTTCAGAATTTATTAGAGGATTCTGGTTAAAAGGGTTATTTTTCATAGTTTATTTAATTATTTAAATGTTTTTCTTATGAAATTATACAATGTAAGTGTACTGTGTAATAATGTCTCTATTACAGTGTTTCAACTTATTTAAATAGTGTATTTTATTATTTTAATTGTATGTACATATGTAAGTAATAATATCTCTAATTATAAGTAAATGCTATGTTCAGGCTGGCTCTGATTAGTAGCAGGCTGACACCAGTAGTTCTCTTTGTTGAAATTCTGTCGGAAAATAATACTAATGGAAGATATTCCCGCCATTTGCCTCCAGATTCTCCACACATTTTGACTAGAGTATCCTTGATTGGCCGGTGTCCGTGTTCTATCATTCCATTAGCTTCTGGATAATATGGTGTTGTAAACTTGAGTTTTGCACCAGTCTTTTCAACAGCTTCAATGAAATCTTCTTTGAATTCGGAGCCATTGTCCACTGTGACTGTCTTGATTGCTCCATATCTGTATACCCAGGATTCCAGAAGAAATTTGGCCACATTGCTAGCTGTGAGTTTGACTAGAGGAGCGGCTTCTACCCATCCGGATAAATCGTCCCGTGCTACAATGAGATATTTGTATTGTCCAGCTTTGATATGGCATGCGTCCAGAGCCACTCGTCCAAAAAGGTAACTGTCCCCGGTTGCGTTTCAAATCTCCCTTGGTACCAAAGGATCCCGCTTCTGACATTCTTCACAGCTTTGAATCCATTTCTTGACCTTCTTTTTCAGGCTTGGCCACCAAAATCTGGTTACCAAACGCTGATAGGTTTCTTCAATGCCTCGATGTCCCAGTTCCTCGTGTCTCATTAATTGTCCATCACTACTGAAAAATCGTGCTGAGTTCCGTCAAAGTCTTGCAAATTCCAGTTGATCCATATGCGCAGGTTGTTCCAAAGTTTCCAAATAGTGCCGTACATCTCACCAATATCCAGGAGCCTCCCATTCGTTGAGTTCTAACATTTCAGCTTGAGAACAAATCTGAAAATTATAACATGGTTTGACTACTGGTTCTTCCTTGTCAAAGTCTTCCTGGTCCTGGTAAAATTCCTCATCATCACTAGAGATGGGTCGTCGTGAAAGTCCATCCGGCAAAGTGAACGTTTTCCCAGGTTTGTGAACTATATCAAAAGAAAATAGCTGGATGAAGGCCACCCATCGTGTCATGGCCGCATTTGGAAGGGATGGGGAATTTATCATTTGAATCAAAGATTTTGCATCCACTTGAAGCTCAAAGTGTTGGCCCCAAAGGTAAGTCTGTAATTTCTTTAATACTCTTGATACCCCACATAACTCCAATTTTGGCTGAGAATATCTTGATTCCACTGGTGAAAATACTATAGATTTGTAAAGTACTGGTCGATCTACAGCGCCTGCTGCAATGAAGCTTGAGTCAACCGCCAACTTGATCAATCCTGTGTTTGCTGAATAGTCAAGGCTTTTGAGAACAATGTACTTGCCCACAATTTCCTTGAGTCGATTAAAAGCTTGATCACAAAGAGCATTCCAGATCCATTCCTGCTTTTTCCTGGTAAGTTGTGTTAGAGGTGCAGCTATTTCCGAAAGATTCTGGATGAAAATTCGAACGTAGACAATGATGCCTAAAAATCCTCGTAGTTCTGTCAGATTTGCAGGTGTTGGCCATGTCAGAATTTTGTTCTTCTTTTGCTTGGATACACGTCCGCCTTGCTGAGATACAATATGTCCAACAATATCCAAGGCTGGAACACAGCAAGCAAAGTTCTTTCCTGATACTGTGAGTCCTGCCTCTTCTACTCTAAACAATATGCGTTCCAAAGCCTGAGCGTATTCCCAAATAAATTGCCGTATTCCCGGATTGTCGTCCAAAACTTGTCCGCCGTAGGTCATCTTTGGTCCTTTTATGCCGCCATCGTCAATGAATACACCAGCATGTTCAGGGATTTCATCCTGTAAAATCCACATCATCTGTGCTTGGTATACTGCTACTGAGTTGGTTGCTCCTTGAGGAAGCCTAGTGAGTTGGAAACGTACAAGTGGTGTGTCAAAAGTTGTAAGTGGTCTTGATTCTTGAGCCAATTCTCGTTTGTCATAGCCACCCATAATATCACCCAAGCCATAGCATGCTCTTCCTGCAAAAGCTTCAATGAATTCTTCTGTTGCTGGAGGCAAGCCTGCATCCCGTATAGTGACTCTGTTCATTTCTTGTAGATCGTGCACAATCCAAAGTTTCCCATCATGCTTGGCCACACAGAATACCGGACTTGAGTAACTTGAGGTCGATTGTTCATATAATCCTGTTCGAACTCTTTCTCGAACCAATTCGGTGTATTTGTCCTTGATTGCTGCAGGGATTGGGATTGGTTTCTTTTGCCAAGGGGTGTGCTCTATGACAGGAATGACATAAGGTAAGCCATAAGAATGTTTCAAGAGTCCTCTTTCAGCTGGGCAAAATGCCAAGGCTTTTTCCCTGAGCACAATGAGATGTCGGAAAAGTTTTATTTCCTCGGGCCACAACCATCCTTCTGGTCCAAAGTTGGTAACACCCAATCGTTCCTCAGTTATCTTGTTGGTAGGTTTAAACTCGGGTGGATTTGGTGTCAGTGGTGTTTGGTATGGGTCTCGAGATAGTGGAGATCGTTGTAACGGGGGATTGATTGATTGAGGCATTGCTTGATTTACTGGTCGGACTTTCTTGGCTACTGGTTTGTACTTGGTCATACACCACAAGTTGTCCTTTTTCCAGTTCTTGCAGAGATCTTCCTGAACCTTCAATCCTAGACCTGTTGTGAGTAAAGTGTTGATTTTCAAGTCTTTGTCTTGAAAGGTATTGATGTTGATGGTTGCTTGATCTGACTTTTTCTTGCTAGTCTTATGTTTGACAAAATGACAGATTTTCTTGACCCATTTGAGCTTCCTTTGAACCAAGCTTGGTTTTACGGTGTCGTCCGAGTCGTCCGGACAGTGAGATTGAACCGTCTCTTGAGTTTGATACGCCTTGGTGTATGCAGTTCCAACTGGGTTGAGGTTCTTTATTTGATTCCAACCTTTTCCCTGTCCTATTTTTGCAATGGGGACAGTGATACGTCGGCCACTATCGCCTTGAAAAGAGAGTAGTTCCCCAGTTCCTGGATAATCCAAAGTGCAGTCGTAATCGAACAAAAAAGGTCGTCC